TTTTTCTGGGAAGATTGATTAAAATCCTTATATATCTTTGAACCCCAGTTTCCCCATAGACAATGTAGCAATATATTTCCCACCCCATGTCCTTGTCCTAGATCTAGTCACTGAAACTCTTTATATTTTCAGAGCAATGCCACTTAGGTTCTCAGTACAGCTCTCTCGAAACAAAAGCCCTCCAGCTGCAGGGACCGGCCTCTTAGGAAGCCAGCCAGCGAGTGGCCTTCTATTATTTGACAGGTGTTGACTAGGAGCCACCAGCCTGTAAAGGTTTCTCTGTTCCCCCCAGATAATCTATCAACATATCTGCATATCATTCTTTTTAATAAAGAAGCATGTCTATCCAAAAGAGAGCATCTTTTTTTTTTGGATAGAACACATAAATACATTCTATAAAAACCACAATTATCTCTATCTTACTCTTAAGTTTATGATACTAGGAAAATGAGTATTCTGAAGAGACTGTACTTAAATAAATGCCTAAGTGCTCCTCAATAGAAGGTTAGAAATCTTTTGTAAGATCATCACTGTCTATTTTTTATAATAGCTATAGCTCATATACCACAAAGCTAACTACTTAACGGTGTACAACTCAATGGCTTTTACTACATTCACAATAACCACCTCAATTGGATTTCAAAATATTTCCGTCGCTTCAAGAATAAAACCATTTACCTGATGGGAGTCATTCCCCTGTTTCTCCTCATGCTAGCTTTTGACAATCACGTGCCTGTTCTGTCTCTATAGGTTTGCCTATTCTGAATACTTCATATCAACGCTGTGGTGATTTGTCTTTGGTGCATGCTTATTTCACTTAGCACCGTGTTTTCAAGGCCCATCTACATTGAAGCCTATGCCAGTACTTCACTTCTTTCTATTGCTCCCCCCCCCCCAGTTTACCATGGCAAAAGAGACCAGCATGTGCCTTCCCTGAATCTGAAGGATTGCCACGAAAGACACTTAAGAGGAGAGGCAGAAAAGACCCCCATCTTCCTGTGCGCCTAAGAGCAAGATACATTCACAAAGATGTACCCCTCCCTTCTCCCCCAGAAACATCCCTAGAGATGCCTGTGGTCCTTATCCTGGGAGTCCAGCCAGGGAACTTACATAACCAACTTAGGAACCAGGCCCTCCCACTGCTACTTCCAACTCGAAGCCCAAGGATGCTTTCCTTTGTCTTGCTACTTCCCTGCTGAAAGTTCATCTACAAAAGACTGGAAATATGTTCATCTCTCAGAGCTTATTTAACACACAGATCTCTTGTTCCGTTCATGTTAGTACATCTCTACAAGCAACTGTTCTTTGTCGATGATGCTGAGTGGGCCAGAGTGCTGCATTATCTTGGCTTGGAGTTTATCCTGGCAACAGGAGTCTCATGTTAACTTTATTAATCTGTCTTTTGTTACAGGAGTCTGTCCTGGCTATAGACTTAGGAATCCTGACAGGGAATAATGTTCCCTTCCTCCAGGGAAGTATTTTGCTTACCTATTCATCAGTTGGTAGACATTAGGTTTTTGCCTTTTTTTTTTCTTACACTGGTGCTATGGCTATTCACTCACAGGCCATTGTGTGGCTGACATTTTGACTTTTTCATTTCTATTGGGCATGTGTCTAGGGGTAGAACTTCCATGTCAGATGGTAGCTTAATAGTAAATTTTTGTAGAAATGCTAAACTGTTCCCAAAATGACTGCATTTCACGCCACACCAGCAAGCTTGAATGTTTCTGCTTTTCCTACCCTCCCTAATACTTATCTGTTTTATTACCTGTCTTAGTGTATGTGAAGTGGTACCCTGGTGTGGTTTTGATGCATATTTTTGAGGACATATTCAGGTGCTATTTTCTACTGAAATATCTTCTTTATAATAAGTATCTGCTTAAATCATTTGTGTGTGTTTTTATACTGGGTTGTCATGCAGTGAGAGCCCTTTTATAGACACAACTTCTATATTATAGATATACATCCTTAGAGATACAAATTTCTGCATCATCTATATAAGTCCCTGTATAGATAGTAGTCCTTTATTGTAGATATAAATCCTATATTTATATACAAAGTACTATATTGAAGATACGAATCCTGTATTTTATAGGATTGTAAAGACAAGTCTACATTGTAGATACAAGTCCTTGTATTTCATAGGTACAAGTCTTTATATTATAGATATGAGTCTTCTATATTACAGATACTAATTACTATATTACAGACGTAAGTCCCTATAGCACATATAGTCCCTTTCTAGAAATGTGATTTGTAATCATATTCTTCTGTTCTGTATGTTTTCCTAAACAGTAATTCGGAGTTTATGAACACTTGATTATTCAGGGGTTAAAGCTTTGCCTTTCTTCTGGATTTGTTCCAATTTAGGAAGACCAGTGCTCACGACACACTCCACAGAGAGTGCGCAGAGGAAGGAGAAAAAGCACAGTGACTACCAGAGATCCATGCACCCGATGAACGCTGGCGAATGAATGGATAAAAGAAATGTGTGAGCTCCCCATTTGCAGCACATGTCCCTCTGCTGGTCTTTCTGAGAAGCATTCATTTTAGGTCCAAAAGGTCCCGCTGGGGAGCTGCGAAGCAATAGGAAGGTGTTCCTGCTTTTTCCACATGTTCTCTCCAAGCTGTTTCTCCACCCCACTGCTGCAAAGTGTGTGGGAGTCTGCGGGTTTCCACGGTAAGACGCAGCTGTATCTCCTGAAAACAGCTGTGTTTTCAGCTTGATACTGACTCTGCCTTCACCGGTCCTGGGTATTTACTGCGGATGTTTATAATAGGAAACTCACACCTTTTCCTGAATAAACTTATACCTCCCCACATTACAGTAGTTCCCTCAGAATGGTTCCCTGTCTCATTAAGCTCAGAGCTATAGTAGGGTAGACCCCAGGCTGAGAGAGAGAGGCAGTCTGTGTATCCCTGTCTTTAGATCACCGGGATTCACTGCAGAGATCCTAGGGCCCGAGAGATGGTCCTAGCCTGGCTGTCTGCATTTGCACATTATTTATGCCAGTCTATTTTGCAAGAGAAGTTTGATATAATCCTTTCTGTGTCCCCAGGGTTGAATCATAGAAAAAAAAATCAATGGTTAAAAAATAACTGGGAAGAATCAAAAGCCTTTTAGTAGGGACTGCAGTGAAAACACAGAAATCAAGAAACACGCGGGGTTAAGAAAGAACAAAGAGCAGCAAGGCTCTCCTGTCTTTGCAACTGAATATAATCAGCACTCTAAGGTTACATAGCAGAGCTACCGGCCTGCCTGCTAGTGTTACGCAGATCACTTCCCCTCCTGTGCACTCTGCTGAGATGATTGTGGAATACATGTGATATACAGATGGATACAGGCTCTCACTAACTGGTGGAACGTAAATGGGGGTTGAGGCTGTGAATGCCTCCACCAGAAGAAATGGAAAGGGGGATTTTAAAAATATCATAGGCCGGAGAAATGTCTCAGATGTTATGAGTACTTGCTGAGCAATCTTGGAAACTGGAGTTGGTAATCATGTACACAACAAGCCCAGCTCCAGGAAAGGGTAGAGACAGGGGGATTGTTGGGGCTTGCCTGGCCAAGAAAACATGATCCTCATGTTTTGGAAGAGTTGCAGAGAAGGAATGCCTTCTGTGGCTTCAGTGTGCATATAGGAGCATGTACTCTCACACATATATGCATAAATGCTCACACAGACACATACACAGTTTTTTTTTTTTTACTTTTTGATTGTGAGCCTACCCTATAATGGCTGAGCCATCTCTACAGCTCCAATTTTTTTTTAAATTAGAGGATTGAGGGAGTATATAAGTATATTTTGGTTGCTAGAGCAAAATACAGCAAATTAGGTAATTTATAAACAGAAACTTGTGGTTCAAAGCTGTAGAGAGTAGAGGGTTTAAGATCAAGGTATTAGATATTTCAGTCTCTGATGAGGACCAATTTTACCATAGGTGTAGCCTTATAGTTGTTTCTTTACATGGAAGAAAAGGAAATCAAATTCGTTTGGTCTCTTTTATAAGGACACTAATGCCATTCCTGGGGGTTCCATCTTGACATCCTCACCTTTGAAAAGCCCCTGGAGGTTAAGTTAGAGAGAGGTGTTGCAAATATCCAGAGAGAATTAGCATGAACATACCAACTTAGCCTAGTTTGGAGAAAACAATTTGCAGACCCAATAAGTCGTCGGTAATACCACACGGTATTCATGCAATGTGTCCTCTTCTTAACAAATGTAAGCACTTTGAAGATCACTTACCTCACATGAAGAAAGGAAGTGTTTCAACAGTTGGTTTAAGGCTCAGGAGTTAACTGAGTGTTGTAGATATGGGGAGGAAGGCCAGTGGAAGTGAGTTAGGCATTACCTGTGAAAAATCCTTTAGGCCCTTTAAGAATCTCATGAGATGGTGTTACAGCTTTACAGATTAAAGAGTCGTCCAAATCATTGATCAGAATCAAACTGTGTCTATCATAATATGAGGTCATTTTTTTCAGCAGTTCTATGTTCTTATTCACAGTTATGGTTGATTGAGGACGTTTGCCTGGATAGATGGAAGGAGCCTGGGTCCATGCTCAGTTATTCTGTCTGATACGGGTGGGTTGGGGCAGTGGCTTCCAATACAAACCTCCAAACACAATAGAATGAATCGATTTCTATGGTCTATACTTTGAAGCACTTAATTATAGATTCTGTATATGGGCAGCTCTGTACAACTCCCTCCTTCTGCAATCCTGTGTCTGTTCAAGTATTCCAGTCAACCAGTTTTCTTATTCCCTCCTCATCCCTGCCTGCCTCTTTCAAGTTGCCGTAAACCTAAACATCTCCCCTTGTATTATGGTTGGACAAGGCAAATTTTCAAGATTAGGCTGACAAATTTAAAACTTAAGATTTATTTTACATATTAAAAATCATTTTTAAACTTTCTTTTGAAAGTCATAACTATGGCGTTCTTACCCCTGTCTTTTTATTTTTCATTTATTTATTTGTTGTGGTGCTTAAAATCCAACTTACCACACCATTTCACTTTCCAGTTTCGGTTGGCATCAACTCCACGGCAGTGAAACCTAGAGTTTCTTGACCTTGTCTTTCTCCAGAATCGATCCTACACACGGTTAAAACATCAGGCAGAGAACAAAGTACTTAAAAGATGTTCTAATTTCATTTCAGTTGCTGGACAAAAGGAAACTTGGAGGAGAAAGGGTCTGTTGGATTACAATTCCAGGTTGTGGTCTATCATTTTGGGGGAAGTCAAGACAGGAATTCAAGTAGATGGTCTTATTGAAAAAAGAGAATAAATACATTTTTGCTTGATTGTTTAGCACTTAGCTTTCTTTTCTCTTACGTAATCCATGTCCATGAAATGGGACTGCCCACAGTGGCCTAGGTCTTCCTAAATGAATTAACAATCCAGGCAATCCCCCACAGATGTGCCCACAGTCCAGTCTGATCAGATGCCAGGTGATTCTAGATTGTGTCAAGTTGAGAGTTAAAACTAAGAGCACAAAAGAATATTCACACGTATTTCAGTTGCCTGGTGTGTAAAAGCACGACATGTTGGGGCTAGTTCCTCTATGCACAGACCAGCTAGGAGAAAACAGAGGCAAGGATTAGCCCTGGCACAGCCTCATGCCCTGCTTCCTGATACCATCTTAGTGTCTCCTATATTTTTGGCCCTTTTTTCCCTTACACATCTTGGTATAATTTATTTTAATCGTTTTCACTCCCTTCTCTTTTGGCTTATCTTTATAGGCAATTTGAATAAATTAGGTGATGCCAGTGATTTTTAATAATTTATTTGGAAAAAAATAATTTATTTGGAAAGGGAAATCCTTATTTCTATGAAATTTATGCGAAAGCAAATTATGAAAATGATTGTGGAGGAAGCCTCTCATGTCTCTTGAACCCACTAGTGGGTTGATAAGGAAACTCCTTTCACTTTTTTGTGATCTATTCAGTCCCCTTCTCAATTTTATAGGCAAAGCAACTTACATGTGTCCAGCTGAAATGGTATCCATCGACATTAAACACAGGCATGATATAGAAGTAGAGATGATTCAACATTTTTCTCATGGCTGGGTCAGTCTTATAGGTCAGAAGGGCCTGAAACACAAAGGAGACATTCTTATTGATGGATGCCAAAGTGATTTAAGGGAAAAAAAACAAGTGTGAGAAATCCTTTCTGTTTAGAGAAAGACCATGCATGCTTGGCTGAAAAGTAATAAGCCAAGTGAACTGTGCTCTGTTATTTTCTCTGAATGAGACTCTTGATTACAAATATTACTGGTAATAATATCAAGATTGGCATTTTATTACCAATAATAATAACAACTTTTTGTTGTTGCTGCAAATCCCTCTGTTTTACCATAGAAATGCCAGGCAAATCCTCCAGTGAATGGACTTTCTATTAACACAAAGCTGGTAAATGAAAAACAAAATGAACAACACAAAACTTAAGCCAGATCTCAGATAATCACATATTGGCCCCAGGACCAACAGCTAGGAGAGACTGGCTTCAGAGTTCTAAATGGTACTTTAAAAAAATAACTCAGTTCTTTATTGATTCTTTGGGAATTTCACAACATGAACTTCAATCCCACTCCCCTCTCAGTCCCTCCAATCTTCCCCTCACTCCTGCAACATCCCCCACAAAAGAATATCCCCAAATCAATTAAAAACAAAGCAAAACAAAAAAACCTTACCTTGCTCCTCCTCTTTCTAATACCTCTTTATTCAACCTAGTGGTATTGGTTTTTATAGTGTGTCATGCAGTATAGCCTTTTGTCCAATCAGCCCCTCCCACATAATGTTCATTATAATGAGTCCCTGGTCTGGTTCAAGGCTTCTGGCACACCATTGTCACTGGACCCTCACCAAAACTTCTCTCAGATATCCTGCTGTTGTCCCGAGTCACAGAGATCCTGAGGTTATTGCTCTGCAAGACCAGTCCCTTCACACACTCCAGCAGGTCAAAGATGCTAGGGTGGGTCAATGCAAGGCCCAGGATGATGGTTTGGGTGGTAGCTGAGCTGGACACTTGGGGTCACTGGAACCACCCCTTCAGGAAAGGGGAAGAGCCAGCCCTCCTAGGCCCATGACATTGGGGCCAGCTCTCCCACACCTATGGTGAGGGGCAGGGCCAGTGTTCCTGCTGCAGTGTCCAGCAAGGTGCAGGGGCAGCTATCCCAGGGTCAGTGAGGGGGGTGTGGCTCAGCATGAACCTCAGATTTCAACATGCATGGTTCCTATAACTCCTGTGGCATCATGGGCCATGAACAACATTGCAGACCCCAGCTGCAACAGGAACACAGAGTCAGAAATGGCCATCAGCAAGAGCTTGGGTTTGTATGTTACCATGACCCCTGTGGCAGTACAGGGCACCCAGATCAGTATGGTTCTGTTGGAATAAGGCCCTTGGATACCAACATGGTCTCAAGTGGCTATTCAGACCCCTTACATCCACACAGCCCTCAGTGGTAACAGGAGTCATGGATATTAACTCAGATCCTGACTGCTGCTGGACCATAGATCCAGACATGACCCTAGGCAGCAGCCTGGGCTTGGATGACATCATGGTTCCATATGGCAATGCAGGTCTCCCAGATCAGCATGGCCCTGGTGGCAACATGGTCCTCAGACACCAACATAGCCACAGGTAGTGGCCAAGCCCCTGGGTATCCATGTGGTCTTTGGTATTGCCATGGACAATGAACATCAACATAGACCCCGGCTGTAGTAGGATCACAAACATAGACATGGTCCTTGGTAGTAGCCCAGGCTGGAGTGTCTGGCAGACTTTTTGATGAAGCAGGAACCTTGATGGACCATCCTGTCCCTTGGCAAGTTCAGTTGTCACTTTCCTTTGTAACCTGCTTGTCCAGTTTGGACAGTGTACTGTCAAGCAGTTCAGGTAAGAGCAATTTCTTGTCCAAATGGCTATCATTTGCCACATGCATGTCAAACTCCATAATGAATTTCTTTGATTCCTATCATCCTCTCTGACATAATTGGTGCTTCCAGGAGATGTGTCTCATTGTTACGAAGAACCCTAAACTAACAAATCATTTTAAATGCCATATTCTGTATCTCTTTGAAAGGTTTTGAAGAAGGCCTATCTATCTAAAATATACCTCTGTATATCTAGAAAACCTAACTAATATGACTATAAGTTTGACTATTATAGATGGCTATCTATTAATCTGTATTTTTAAGTATATATTACATTTTAAATGAACTGTATAAACATAATACTAAAGAAGAGTAGAAATATGCATATAATAAAATTGACCTTAAATTTGTACCAAAATCCATACCAATGCAAAGTATTCATTTCTATATCATACTCTATTTTTTCTTTAGAAAGAGACTGAGCATTTATAATCAACCCCATTTAAATGAAAACAGTAGGATGATGGTCTGAGAACTGATCATCATCTTGCATCATTGAATCCTGCACCTTGAAGGGCAGAAGTCATAGCAGTTATTTTCCTTTAGTGTGTGAGTGTTCCCTAAATAAATATTTGTTGTTCTTTTACTCAGGCATTCGTGGACTGCCTGAGTCCACCCTTCACCAGCTTGTTTTTTTTTTCCAAAGTAGCAAGGAAAATTTATTCCAAAGCAAAACTATAGTACTGATCAGAAACATTGTCAAGAATGATATCTAGCGGACCAGGAAACCAGAGGAGGCAGGGAGTCCAGGGAAGCAGCTGTTCCTGCTGCAGCATCAGGGGCAGCATCAGGTAAACAGGCCGGCTTCCCGGCCTGTGTTCCAGTGCCTGCGGATCGCCTGGGAACTGTACAGAGCTTCCAATCCCGATGGGAGCCAAGCACCCCAGACTCCAGGTCTTCTCTCTCACCAACGAGACCAGGAAACCAGAGGAGGCAGGGAGTCCAGGGAAGCAGCTGTTCCTGCTGCAGCATCAGGGGCAGCATCAGGTAAACAGGCCAGCTTCCCGGTCTGTGTTCCAGTGCCTGCGGATCGCCTGGGAACTGCACAGAACTCCCAATCCCAGCAGGAGCCAAGCACCCCAGACTCCAGGTCTTCTCTCCCACCAAACGAGACTGGGAAACCAGAGGAGCCAGGGAGACCAGGGGAGTAGCTGTTCAGGATCAGGTACAACAGGACCCAGCATAGGGTCCAGGGGACCAGGTAGGAGGCTAAGCGTCCCAGATTCCTGTTCTTCTTCTCCACCCACAGGACCAGAACGAGGACAAGGAATAGAAGAACCACCAGATTATTGGACTTGCTAGCACCCACCAAAAGGGAACTCTGGTCCCCAGACCAGTAAGGGGCTCTTTCTGCACCCACTAGAAGAAGAGATGGGAAAGAGACAATACAAAAACACAGTCAGCAACAGAAAAACAAATATGACACCGCCAGATTCTAGAGACTCCACACCAGCAAGACTCCAACATTCCAATGCGAACGAAGCAGAAGAGAATGACCTTAAAACCACTTTCATGAAAATGATAGAGGCCTTAAAAGAGGATATAGGAAAATCCCTCAAAGAAATGGAAGAAAAAACAAACCAAAAAATTAAAGAAATGGAAGAAGAAACAAACCAAAAAGGCAGGAAATGGAAGAAGAAACAAAGCAAAAAATGCAAGAAATGGATCAAAAAGCAAACCAAAACATTCAAGAAAATGGAAGAAAGAACAAACCAAAAAATTCATAAAAGGCAACAAATCGACAAAAAGATAAACCGAAAATTGCAAGAAGCAATGCAAACACTGCAAGGGTTGAAAACTGAAATAGAGACAATAAAAAAAACACAATCTGAAGAAAGGCAAAAAATAGAAAAGCTGGGCAAACAGTCAGGTACTACCGATACAAGCATTACCAACAGAATAGAAGAGATGGAAGAGAGAATATGAAGTGTTGAAGATACACTAGGAGAAATGGATTCATCAACCAAAGGAAACCTTAAGTCCAACAAATCCTTAACACAAAACATCCAGGAAATATGGGACACCATGAAAAGACCAAACCTAAGAATAATAGGTATAGAAGAAGGAGAAGAAATCCACCTCAAAGGGGCAGAAGGCATATTCAACAAAATCATAGAAGAAAACTTTCCCAACCTTAAGAAAGACATGCCAATGAAGGTACAAGAAGCCTACAGAACACCAAATAGAGTGGACCACAAAAAAAAATCCCCTCGCCACATAATAATCAAGACCCCAAACATACAGAATAAAGAAAGAATATTAAGAGCAGCTAAGGAAAAAGGTCAAGTAACATATAAAGGCAGACCTATCAGAATTACACCTGACTTCTCCATGGAAACTCTGAAAGCCAGAAGGTCCTGGATAGATATTCTACCTACACTAAGAGACCATGGATGCCAGCCCAGACTACTATACCCGGCAAAGCTCTCAATCACTATAGACGGAGAAAACAAGATATTCCATTACAAAACTAGATTCAAGCAATATGTGTCCACTAACCCAGCCCTACAGAAAATTTTGGAAGGAAAACTCCAACCCAAGGAAGCTAACTACAATCAGAAAAACATAGGCATTAGAGAATCCCTCTCTACCAATAGCCAAAAGAACAAAGGGGTCAAATTCCACACATAATTCCACCACCACCAACCACTGCAAATCGAAGAAGGATGAGCAATCAATGGTCATTAATATCCCTCAATATTAATGGCCTTAACTTACCCATAAAAAGACACAGACTAGCAGAATGGATTCAAAGACAGAACCCTTCCTTCTGCTGCATACAAGAAACACACCTCACCCTCAAAGACAGACATTACCTGAGAGTTAAAGGTTGGGAAAATTTTTTTTCAATCAAATGGACCCAAGAAACAAGCAGGGGTAGCAATCCTAATATCTAACAAACTAGACTTTAAAATAAAATCAATCAAAAGAGATGAAGGAGTTCATTACATACTCATCACAGGTGAAACCCACCAAGATGAAGTGTCTATCCTGAACATCTATGCCCCCAATACAAAGGCATCCACATTCGTTAAAGAAACATTGTTAGAACTGAAATCTCATCTAAAGCCCCACACAGTTATAGTGGGAGACTGCAACATACCACTCTCACCACTAGACAGGAATACCAGACAGAAACTCAACAAAGAAGCAAA